CCCCGTCTTTACAGATTTGATGACATTGACCTGCCCTCGGCAGTCAAGTACCTCATGGCCTCAGACCCCAACCTGCAGGTGCTGGGAGCAGCCTACATCCAGCACAAGTGCTACAGCGATGCTGGAGCCAAGAAGCAGGTGACCGACCACCCCTGCTGGCGGACGGGTGGCTCGCTGGTCCGTGAATACCCCTGCTGACCACCCTATTGGTCCCACTCCCCCCTGATCTCCGGCCCCTGACCACCTCTCACTGATGCCCCACGCTGACTGGGCAGACCCCATCTGGCCCAGAGCCTCCCCAGCAGAGAAGGGGGAGGAGCAAGTGATCTGCACACACACAATACACCTGCACACCTGTGCACACCTCTGAGCACGTCCGCATCCAGCTACACACATAGGCATGCCTCTCCGTACGGCTGTATACATCGATACACATCTGCACACACGTGTGCACACCCGCGTTCGTCTCCGTCATCGGTATACGCCGCCATGTACTCGCACACATCTACACGCACCTGTGCGGTGTGCGCGCGAGTTCTAACACCACGTGCCCATGCGTGCAGGCCCACAGCCTTCAGGCCGTGCCCAGGCTGGTGAAGCTCTTCAACCATGCCAACCAGGAGGTGCAGCGCCACGCCACGGGCGCCATGCGCAACCTCATCTACGACAACGCGGACAACAAGCTGGCCCTGGTGGAGGAGAGTGGCATCTTCGAGCTGCTGCGGACCCTGCGTGAGCAAGATGACGAGCTGCGCAAGAACGTCACAGGTGGCCCTGGCCTCACCCACAGCCCCGCGCCAGCGCCCCTCCTTCCCTCTGCCTTTTTGTCCCTTTCTCTGTTCTCCGTCCCCACCACTGCCCTCCACCCCCACAGCTATTCCGGTGGCACATCTCCGCAGCTAGCCTCCAGACCCCTTGTCCCCAAGCGTTGTGCTCTCTGCTGTGTCACACCCCCGGGACCTGCAGCTCACACGCAGGCTTTCTAGGGGGGCTCCTGGGGGAGGCTCCAAATGCCACCTGGAGGGGCTGGAGGGACCAGCAGGCTGTCACTGACCGCGGCCGCGGCCTCACCTGCCCCAGGGATCCTATGGAACCTGTCCTCCAGCGACCATCTGAAGGACCGCCTGGCCCGAGACACACTGGAGCAGCTCACGGACCTGGTGCTGAGCCCCCTCTCCGGGGCCGGGGGACCACCCCTCATCCAGCAGAATGCCTCCGAGGCTGAAATCTTCTATAATGCCACAGGGTTCCTCAGGTGCATGGGTAGGGGGCAGTCAGCTGGGAGAGGCCAAGAAGGTGGCCATGGGGAGAGAGCTGAGTGCCTGGAAGGGAGCAGGGGAGGCCCGGAGAAGGGGCCTTTGACCGAGGTCTGAGTGGCAAGGCGGAGCTGGCCCGGGGGTGGGGGCGCTGGCCAAACGAGGCACAGGTGCTGATGCAGAAGCGGGACAGGAAGCTGGGTGTGGCTGACATGTCAGATGTCATAGGTCCTGGGGGCCGCAGGCTCAGGTTTCATTAAATCGGGGACTTCATCTGACATTCATAACCCCCACTCTGGACACTCAGAGGGGTGAATGGGGGATGGGCATGCAGAGAGACCAGGGCCAGCAGGAGCTAAGGGGTGGGGCCCAGCTCAGGGGAAGGAGAGGGCTGGGGCTCAGGGTCTCAGCCCTTGGGTTTGGTTCCCACTGGGGATCTCCGATCCGCCTCCACCCACAGGAACCTCAGCTCAGCTTCCCAGGCCACTCGCCAGAAGATGCGTGAGTGCCACGGGCTGGTGGATGCCCTGGTCACCTATATCAACCATGCCCTGGACGTGGGCAAGTGCGAGGACAAGGTGAGGGGCGGCCATTGCCTTAGGGCCTGGGGGGTTTCCCGTCCACTCTGACCACGGTCTGCCCTCTGCAGAGCGTGGAGAATGCTGTGTGCGTGCTGAGGAACCTGTCCTACCGCCTGTATGACGAGATGCCGCCATCAGCCCTACAGCGGCTCGAGGGCAGGGGCCGCAGGGACATGGCTGGGGCGCCACCCAGCGAGGCGGTGGGCTGCTTCACGCCTCAGAGCCGGCGGCTTCGAGAGGTGGGCACAGACCTGGGCAGCTGGGAGCTGGTGGGCCCCCCCGGCCTGAGCCCAGCTGACCCTCCCCACCTCCCACCCAGCTGCCCCTCACGGCCGACACACTCACCTTCGCCGAGGTGTCTAAGGACCCCAAGGGTCTCGAGTGGCTGTGGAGCCCCCAGATCGTAGGACTGTACAATCGGTTGCTGCAGCGCTGTGAGCTCAACCCACACACGACTGAGGCGGCCGCTGGGGCGCTGCAGAACATCACCGCGGGCGACCGCAGGGTGAGGGCCCATGCCTGGCCTTGCAGAGGGGACACGCGGGTGGACAGAGAGGGCACAGGAGGGCTCTAGGAGTTTATTCTGTTGGGGCGGGACGAGCGCAAATCCGCGGATGAGCCAAAACATCCGGGGGAGGGACGCGACATGCAGCCGGAGGAACACCCGCCGGGTGTAGCAAAGAGCATGAGGCCAGCATCCCAAACCAGACAGGCCCCGGAGGCCCCCGATATTTAGGTTCCATGCTGGCTTTAAGGAGAGGTTTGAGCTGAAGCGGGGCCAACCCGAGTCACACCTGGCGAGGCTCCTGGCCGGGGTGTGAGGGCGAAAGCAGGGAGAGCTCTCAGGGGACAGGGCACTGAGCAGGTGAGAGACAGTGAGGGGCCACTCCTGCCTCAGAATCCCCAAGACTGGCTGGGCAGGTAGAGAGAGGGGGAGAGAGGGACAGAGAGAAGAACCAGCCTAGAGTGCAGGCCACGGGGGTACAGGCCACGGGGGCCGGTTTCGCCCGCTCTGACCAGCTCCTCTCCCACCTGCAGTGGGCGGGCGTGCTGAGCCGCCTGGCTCTGGGGCAGGAGCGGATCCTGAACCCGCTGCTGGACCGAGTTCGGACCGCTGACCACCACCAGCTGCGCTCACTGACTGGCCTCATCCGAAACCTGTCTCGGAATGCCAGGAACAAGGATGAGATGTGTGAGTCAGGCCGTCCTGAAGCCTGGGTTCTGCCCTCACCCTGCCTAGCTGGGCTCACACCTGGATCTTCTTTTCTGTTGTCCATGGGGTGGGGGGGCCCATGGCAAGCTAGCACTGGGTGAACAGACGGGAGGTGGGGCGGGGGACCGGAAGTGCTAAGGTGGCTGGGAGTGGCGGTGGAGGCTGGCTTCCCGCCCCCCTGACCTCCTGGCCTCCCGGCAGCCACCAAGGTGGTGAGTCACCTCATTGAGAAGCTTCCCGGCAGCGTGGGTGAGAAGTCCCCCCCAGCCGATGTGCTGGTCAACATCATCGCAGTGCTCAACAATCTGGTGGTGGCCAGTCCCATTGCCGCCCGGGACCTGCTCTACTTTGACGGGCTCCGAAAGCTGGTCTTCATCAAGAAGAAGCGGGACAGGTGAGCCCCTCCCCCACGCACCCCTGCCCACCGCCCAGCCTGTGTGTCTGCTGACCCCAGCTCCCCGCCAGTCCCGACAGTGAGAAGTCCTCCCGAGCAGCCTCCAGCCTCTTGGCCAACCTGTGGCAGTACAGCAAGCTTCACCGAGACTTCCGGGCGGTATGTTCTGGGGCAGGCCGGGGTGCAGGACGTCGGGGTGGCGGGGGTGGGGGGCTGGGGGCGGGGACAGCGGGGAGGGGGTGGACCGAGGAACTCCTGGGAGCAGGAGACTCAGGGAGTGAGAAACATGGGAGAGGAGACCAGAGACCCAGAGAGAGGGGTCCAGGCCCAGACCAGGAAGGGTGGGGCCTGGGGAGAGCAGGGCCCGGAAGGCAGGCACCCTAACTCTTGGCCCCCTCTCCACTGCAGAAGGGCTATCGAAAGGAGGACTTCCTGGGCCCATAGGTGAGGACTTCCTGGAGGAGGAGGATGCAGCGTGGCCCAGCCTCCAAGGGACAGGCTCAGCTCTGCACTGCTCACTGGCCAGCCGGGCGGAGGCTGATGGCCTGGGGCCTCTCGCTGGAGCCCCATGTGCAACTCTGAAGGGCCTAGGGCACCAGGGAGGGGATGGGGGCTGGTTGCAGGGACATGGCTTCTATAGGGCAGGGGTAGGGCAGGGCTTGAGGCTGCTCTGGTGTGTGGGGTGGTGACCAGGTCTGGGAATATTCCCAGTGCTGGGAATAAAGGTGGCCGTGAACACAGCCCTGCAACTTTCTTCGGCTGGCCCAACCCGGGGTCCAAAGCAGGGACTCAGCAGTGTCCCTGAGCACAACCATGCCTGCCCCTGAGGATACTCACGCCCTGAGCACACCCAGAGGCTTCTCCAGGTCAGGAGCCCAGGACGAGGAAGAGCGTATCCCTCAGGGAGAGCTGGTGAGAGTGGAGGGAGCAGGGCAGACAGCAGAGTCAACCTTGCTACCCGCTGAGGTCCAGACACAGTAGAGCTGGGGGCCTTGTGCACAGAGTGACCACTCCTGGGAGAGCCGTGAGCTCTCCTGGCTTCGGTGCTGCCCTGCTGGACTGTCCTCATGTGGCAAACACACCCAACACCTCTCTCTGCCCTGCCTCGCTGGGCCTGGGGTGTCCTGACCAGGGACTCACACTGTCCGACTGAGTCCTGGGATCCCATGTCACCCAACCAGGCCCATTCACATGTTTACAGCAAAAGACTTCTTCCTTAAAGCTCAGAACCTGAAGTGTAAGAGGCCTGCCCCCTCCCCCAGGACCTGGCTGGATCAGGACAGGGCTGAGGACAGTCACGACCCCAAGCAGACAGACCCAAAGAGGCTACTACAAGAGATGTTTCTGAGCTGGCTCAGGATAGAGGATGGTCAGGACGGCAGGAACAGCCAGATTTGTGACCGAGTGAACGTGGGGATGAGAAAGGGGAGGGGCTGAGGGTCACGGACAAGCCTGAGACAGAAGTGAGGGGTGCCCCACCCAGGGGCTGCATACCCCCTTCCTGCCCCAGGAGAGGAGAGGCTGAGGCCCAGGCAGGATCTAAAAGGACTTTATTTCCTGGCAGTAGGAGGTACACTGGAGCAACTCCCCTTCCCTCAGGGTCTCAGGGCTGGTAGTCCTGCTAAGAGGAGAGACCCCACCCCACCCTGCACCCAGCTGTCCTTGGAGATCTTGCTGTTCTGGCGGGTGGGGGCTACACATCATCCTCGGACACCAGGCAGTAGAAGTCCGTGCGGGCGCTGTAGTTGCGGGAGCCGAGGTCGGAGACATCTACCTCGCTGCCCCGGCCCTCTCCAAGCGAGACCCCACTTGCATGCAGTGGAGCTAATGGCTCCCCAAAGACTGGCCCTCGGACACCTGGGAAGAGTGTACCACCAGGCCTAAGGCTGGGCTGCCCACGGCCTGACTTCTGCTGGGACCCATGCATGGGGCTCACTCCTTGCTCACCCTCCTGCATGGTGGCATTTGAGGTCCTGGAGGTTCCCAGGCAGACCTTGGGCCCAAGTGCCCCCAGGAAGAGGCAGTGAGGGTGTGCTGGGTGTGCTGTGCAGCCCACCTATGGCCTGCAGGGAGGAGTCCCCTCCACCTGGACCCCTTTCTGGGCTCCTTGGCCCTGTGGAACCCCACCTCCAGCCCAGGCCAAGCCTCTCAGGGTCAGGGGTGGGGCCAGCTGAGCATACCCAGGTCCCCCTCGGGGTCGGGGTCCAGCTGCAGGTTCAGGGTCCGACCCTCTGGGACATGGCCTTGTACAATAAGCATGGGGTCTTTGTCATCCTGCAGCCTGGTCTGGGGGTCTCCCTCCATTGCTCTGTACCGCACCTTCCGTGGCAGCGCCAGCTGCAGCTCTTTCCAAAAATCTGAAGAAGGCGCCTGGGGGCCAGGATGGGGCCGTTAGCCTAGTCCCCTTGGCCGCAAAAGAGCACACCTGGAAGGGTGTGTTCACCTGGCTCCAGGGATCTCAAAGGAAGCCCCTCTTCTGGGCAGCAGGCCACACAGCCCTCACCCACGGGCCCATTCACAAACCCCCATCCCATACAGACGCCCGTGGAAGAGCCCCTCTCTGGAGCCCGGTACCGCCCAGCCCTATTTCAGGGCCCCTCCCCACACCCCTCTGCGCACCACGGAGCCGGGCCTCCAGAGCAGCAGGGTCACCAGGTGGCGGTGCTGGCGCAGCAGGTGGAGCGCGGGGTGCACCGGGTCGCGCCTCTGACCCTCGAAGGTGATGAAGATGGGTCTGCGCGTGAGCTCCAGCAGCCGGCACAGGCCCTCCCTGCGGGGGCGGGACCGTCAGGGGGGACGCGGCTGGGGGCCCACCCAACCCGGCGCCGGACCCACCGGAAGCTGTGGCTGCACCAGGCCCGGCCCAGGAAGGCGTCCGACAGCACCACGATGAGGCGCCGGCAGCGGCTCAGGTTCACCAGCAGGTCCGCGGAGGGCTCTGCGAGAACCGGGCGTCGGCGGGGCCGAGGAGGGGCGGGGCCGAGGAGGGGCGGGGCCTGGATGGGGCGGGGACGGGCCCAGAACGGGGCGGGTCCATGGGAGGGAGGGGCCCGGTCTCGGGACGGGGGCGGGGCCTGGACGAGGCCAGGGGAGGGCGGGGCTCGCGCCCAGAACAGGGCGGGACCCGGAGCGAGATGGGGCGGGGTCATGGGAGGGCGGGGCCCGGTCTCGGGACGGGGGCGGGGCCCTGGGTGGGGCCCAAGGTACCCGCGCGCGGCAGGAGGTCGCGGTCATCCAGGAAGAGCTTGTAGCCCCGACGCCGCTCTAGGTGCGGCTTCAGGATGAAGTTCACGAACTTCCGGTCCTCGGGGCTGTCGCTGTAGGAGACGTAGGCGTCGTAGAGCTTCCCGTCTGCGGATGGCTGCGGGTCAGCGCTCCGCTTTCTAGGCCCGGGCCCGCCACTCCCCCGCCGCCGCGGCTCACTACCTGCCCCAACCGGGCCTTCGAACCTCTCCCCACGCGCATGCGGGGACCAGGCCCGCCCGCCACATTTCGACCCCGCAGATCCCGCACACACGCTCGCAACCCCGCCCCCCGGCCGCGCCTAGACCCTCTCCAGCGCTGGCTCTTTCCTGGACTGTGTGCTCACCAGAGCCTTCCGAGGGCGGCCGCCTCCCCAGTGCAGACCTCCACCGCCACCCCACTTGCCCAGGCAACCCGCCCACCCAGAACTGAGCTTGGGGAGGCCCCATAGCTGATTCATCCCCCTTGGCCACCCCGGCCCCACGCACCGTTCATCTCCACCTCCCCGCAGGCGTCTTGGTACCAGCGCAGGACACTGAGGCGACACTTCACGTAGATCAGGGCCGCCAGGAGCAGAGCCAGCAGCACCAGCAGAGAGGCCAGCACCGCGGCCACGTGGCCCGCTGGGCCTGGGGACAGAGCTACAGCCTGAACCACTGCCACCCCCACCCAGCGTTCTCTGAGCCTCAAGGCTCCCCAGGCTTCCCTTTTACCCTCCACCCAGTGTACCCCACTCACCAGCTCTCCAAAGAGTGAAGGAAGAGGAGCTGACATTCCGGATGGAGCAGGTAAAGGCCCCATAGTCCTCAGCACGGGTCAGGTTGACCCCCAGAACACTGGACACAAGCACCTCTGATAAGTTGTCCTTGACCCTGGGGAGATCAGGCCCAACCCTCTCATCTGGGGCCTGAGAGCATCAGTGGATGCCCCTAGGCCCCACCTGTCGGACTGAACCACAGAGGCTGCAGATGTGGGCTTCCTGAGTGGTCCTTGCCCCACTAGCTAAGAGAAGTGGCCAGAACCTGGTGGGGGTGTGGATCTGTTTGGGGATAGTCACCCTGATCCTGGGTCTGGGTTTTGGGGGGCAATGCCTAATTCAGGCCATAGGATTATGCTGGCACCCATGGCCCTGGGCTGTCTACAAGGCGCCTGTCCACAGGGACCACCTGTCCCTGCAGTCACTAAACCCTTAGTCTGTGTCAAGAGTGGCGCTCTGCCCATGTCCGTCCAGGTGGTTTTAGACCAGGGTATAGGTGGCCATGGGTATAACCAGGGTAGTCACCTGACCCTGGACACTTCCATCTCTTACCAGGAGTCTTCATGGAGGTCATAGTGGCTCCCATCGCCCAGCGGCAGCCTGTCTTTCAGCCACTGGACTGAGGGTAGGGGACAGTGGGGCCCAGAGACCACCCAGGCTGTGCAGTTCAGAGCCACTACACTGCCCATGGTGGGCCCCAGGGCCTGGTTTCCAGTGGGGGAGAGGAAGTCAGGGGCCCTGTCACAGAGGCCTACAGAGAGAGGACCCAGTCGTTAGCCATGCTTGGGATGCTGGGGTCCCACCAACCACAGATGGTCTGTGGGCCAGGAAAAAAACAAGATGGTTAGTGGCATGTGTTGCTTGGTGGCCACACCATGTCCATGCACAAGTCCCACTGGGGACAGGGCTTGGCACTTGGCATGTCTTCCCCCAGTAGCAGCTGGGTCTTGGGTGTTCTGCGTGACCTCGACGTGCGCTGGAAGGCCGTGGCTAGAGTCATAGCTGAGCTGACCCACCCCAGACCAGTGGGGGCCCATCTGGCTGCTCATCCACCCAGGACATGAGCCCAGCTCCCACATTTTCTGTGTACACCCGTTGCCCACCCCAGGTGAGCAGCCAGGCACCGCAGCCCTGGCCCCGCCACCTCTGCTGGGGAAGCTGCAGCAAGTGTGAACACCAGTGCTGAGCTTGCCAGCACCTTCCACCTGGGATGGGAGCATGGGATTCCAGGACCCTCTACTCCTGGTCATGGGCAAGCTTTCCCAGCTCCCTAAGACCTAAATTTTTTGATTTTCAAATCAGGGTGAAGAGTCCTAGTGGGACGTGAGAGGAGACCACCATCATCTTGATGGGGTGGTCTCTCAGCAGCCCACATCTACTCATCCTGCCCCTGGGGGCCCCCCACCAGCTCCCACTCCCAGTGTCCCTGAGCTTTGTTGACCCCCACAACCGTGGTCTGGAGGCTTTGGGCAGGAGAGGGCTCTGGGCTTGTCCTAATCGTGGGGTCAGGACCTTGGGCTATGTGGGGGGGGCAAGCATAAGCCTTTGTACCCCTGGCTGGAGGCCAAGCTGAGAGCCCAGGCAACATCACAGCGTGGAGCCAGCCTGAGGGACAGGAGGTGGGAGTGGGGCCCGTGCTCGTCCCTCTCTGACCCGTCTACCTGCCATGGTCTGGCCGGGGCCTCCTCGAGGCAGGCTGGGCACTGGTGCCAACCCCTGGTTCCACGGGGCTCCTTGGCTGAGCAGACTGGTCCCCCAGGGGATGGGCAAGACTCACTCTCTGTCTTTGTGGCCGGTCAGTCAGGGCACCAGGACGGGTCAGAGGCTGCTGCCATCCCAAAGGAGAAAGTTAAACAAGAACAGGATGAGTTAACATGTAACTTTGCACCAGCTACCTCATGGGTGCTGGGGACGCCAGCACAGTATCATGTGGCTGGAGTGGGCAGGGCCCAGGCGGCTGGGAGGGGCCCTCGGAGTGAACTTCACCTGTTCCAGGGTCACCATGATGGAGGGAGGGACCATGGATGCACACCCCTGGCACCCCTCATGAGGCTGGGAGGTGGCTGTGTTCCCACTACCCCCTGGGACAGGGGTGCCACATACAAGGAGGGATGCAGGGCAGCCCTGAGCTCACCCAGGCCCTAGGGAGAGGGGGGCATGTGAAACTTGTCCACCACCCCACAGTAAGTGTGGGCTGCTGGACTCTGAGCCGCACTCCCCCTGCAGGGTTCTGTTCTGGACATGTCCCATGTGCCCGTGTGTGTATGGACACGGCAGCACCCAAGGCTGAGCCAGGCCGCAGTCATGGAGGCAGGAGGGGACAATGCAGGCCTGGCTGGCCTGAGTCTGCTCCAACAGGCCTAATAGGTCCCACCTCTTTCTGGGTCCCACACCTGCATTCCCCCCACCCATTTGTCACTTCCAAAACCAAAGACTCTTGTCCACATTGTCTAGTTCTCCAAGGGAAGCCCCCACCCCACCCGTAGGTGGCTCTTCTTTCCTATGTGGGGGCTGGGACCACTCCCAACCCGGACTGGCAGTAGCCACACAAGTGTCCTGACAAAAAAAACTCTACAGTGAGCTGAGCTGAAAGGAGGGGCCAAAACCCCCAGTGTCGGGGCCTTCACTGAGAGCCTCCTTGACGGCCAGAGCCTTGGGTCCACCTCCTCCCTGGCGCCAGGTTCACCCAAGTGATCCAGCAGGTACTCCACTCCTGCCTCAGGCCATCCTCCCCACCCTGCGGGCCCCTGAGGCTTTACAGGGACGTCTCTTGGCCTCCCCACCATTCCTTCTGCATGGTGATGCCACTGTGGACCTGGCCCGGCCTCAGCACAGCCAGAAGCCCTGGGTTTGGCTGGGACGGGATTTCCTCGGGAATTGGTGGAGCGTCAGGCAGGGAAGGGGTGAGGAGGTTCCTTCCAGAAGCGCTCCTGTGGAGGGCAGTCTTGAAGGTCCTTGAAGCAGGAGAACCAGTCCACTGGGAGGCTATGGAAGACTGGGCAGCTCACATCCCCTACCCCAGTGTGCCTGGAAGGACGTGTTTCCAGCTCGGTGGATCCCAAGGAAACTCTTGCAGTGGCCCTCCCACGTCTTCAGGCTCAGAAGAGCTTTTACCCCTGGGAAGGCAGCCTTGAGCCTTCCTGGAAGTTAAGGCCAAACTACACAGCCAGGGATAGGTGCCCTCCCCCTGCACACTGTCCCCTGCATCGTCTGTTTTGCACACCCCATGCACACACAGCCCTCTCCCCACGCGCACCTGAACTACTATCTTGGTGTGTGTGCCTCCACGCACACTCCCCACACCTCCAGCACTCTGGCCACATACCCACACACAGCACACCCGTACCTGCAACAGCTCGCACAGGGTGCACTACCACGAGCATCTGCGCAAACCCCACACCACACACACTGTACCTCACACCTACCCTGCTGCCCATGGCGTACGGACAGCCTCCTGTCACCCGTGCTCTTATGGACACACATACCATGCCCACACATGCTGCAGGCCTCCCCTCAGCCAGGCCTGACTCGGAGAACCAGCCTCAGGTTGGAACGGTGTCCAGGCTCACGCAGAGTGGCAGGGCTGTTACGGGAGTACACGAAGTCACCTGGTTCCGGCTCTTTCCTCCTCGTGGGGAATGTCGGTCATGGAGGTCATTGACGTGTGCTTGGGAGCAAACTCTCTGCTCAGCTGGGCCCCCAACCCAGCCTGCGGCCCACAGCACCAGGACACATCACCAAGCACAGTGAGGACCTGTCTTTTGTTTGTGTGTGTTTTAATCAGAACTTTCCCTGTAGCTTCCTGGCTTTGCAGTCACATCCTCTCCTAGACCTAAACCCCACCCAGGCAGCCACCCCCATCCCAGGCAGGCAGGCAGTTGGTGGTTCTCGCCCCGCCTGCCCCGCCTGCATTGCTTCTTCCTGTAACTCTGAGTCAAGCGGCTCCTTCCTCTGGGGCCCACCCCAGCCCACCCAGGCATCATACTTCCCGAGGCCAAGCCTGGGGTTGGAGGGGAGCTTGCAGAAGGGCTGGAGCCCAGGGTGATGTGGTGGGGGGGGGGGGCTCCTAAGGAGACTCCCAGTCGGGGCCATGTTGCACACACACGAGAGCCAGCTTCCCAGACACTGCCTACGAAGCTACACTAAGGATGGTGGGGGCCTTCAGGTTGCTCCCCCTGGCCCAAGTAAGCAGCCCCAGTGTGTATCTGACCTGTGGCCTGCTGGGGTAAGGAGGGTCCTGTGGAAATTCCTGCCAATAATAGGGCCTTGAGCAGAGTTTTTGGGCCCCCTCCCTATCTGATTCCCCCATGTAGTCCCCAAACAGTGAGCGGTTAAAAGGGGGCTGTGTTGTGTTATCACATGGACCTTAGTTTCAGGCTGGGATGGGAGGACAGTCCCCCCCCCCCCGCCTTTCCAGATAAGGGAGCAAAGAAAAGGCCTCAACAGAGGCTCCTGGGCTCTGAGCCCAGATGGGGGGCGGCCAGTATCTCCTTTTGTCACCACTGACTCCCCCCCCCCACCCAGCCCAGACTGACTTGGGACTCAAGGCCCAGCAATAGGTGGCTGGCATCACTACCCAGAGAAATTGGGCAAGGGTCCCCTTCAGGCCTTGTTCCTGTTCTCACCCACCCAGGGTCAGAGGCCCACCAGTGGGCCACCTTCAATATTGGCTTTCCTATGTCCTTAATCTGACCCTGTCCCAGCCGTGCTCTTCAACCTCCCACCCCCCGTGGCCCTCAAGACCCTTGGATGATGGTGCATCTTGGGCTCAGGGTCCCCACAGAACTGTAGGAAGATCTGACTGCACCCTTTCTCCACTGAGCCTCAGCTTCCTGAATGCACATTAGCACTGGTACCAGCCCCTCCTTGAAGGTGCTTCAGTGGGCCTGATGCCCAGGTCACCTCCTACAGTAGTCAGTGACCTGCATAGGAGCACCCAGGTGGGAAGCAAAGAGCCCCAACCATTCTTGCTGCCTCTCAAAGCTCCTGCCAGACTGAGTGCCCCTCTGTGTCACCCTCTCACAGCCATGACACGACACCCCCCCTTCTGCTGCTAAAGTACACCCTCACCCCCAGGCCTCTGGGGTTAACTCTCCAAGGTTAGTGCAAAGAAGCCCACATGACCTTAGGCACTGTCCCCGAACGGCCCTTCCGAATCCAAGCCCCCCTCCCTCTCCCCCCACCTGACCCACCACCCTCTGCCCTACACCCGGTGGTTCCTAGAAAGATCCAGCTCCTGAGCTTATGTTCTGGCTTGAATTCTGACTCCCTCGGCTCAAGCGGCGGGAGGCGATCCCCCCATTCCCCACCCCTCCGCCGTCTGGTTTGCTGCTGAGCACCCCATAGTCTCCAGCATCCCCTGCTCATCTGGGACGCGCTGCGCCCCCGACGTGTCTCCTGAAGGAAGAACTGCACGAAAGTCTGTGGCCCTGCAGGCGAGGGGCTCCGTCCTGCTCCCCAGGGGCCGCAACGCCCGGTTCTCCTCCACTACACACCCCACCTCCGGCGGCCTGCCTTTCCGAGGGGAGGACCAGACTTCGTCCCCCACCCTCCAGGTGCAGTGGGCAGGCTGGTCGGGGGCGGGCGCAGAGGGCGGGGACTCGGGTGTCGTCGAAAAGGGAACGCGCACGGAGGCAGACGCGCTCACAGAGAGCGGATGGCGGATTGGGGCGCGCACGAGGGGGACGTGGATGACAGGTCGGGGTGCGCAGGGGGGCCGCGCGGGTGACCGGCAGGCCTAGCACAGCAGGTCGGGGACGCAGACGGAGGGCGGGAGCGCGCATGACGGTAGCTCCGCCCGGCGACCAGCGCCGTGCACCGCCCCAGCCAGCTCCTCCGTACACCCACGGAGCCCGGGGAGGCCTCAGGACTGGGATCCGAGCTCCGGGCAGAGGCGAGGGTCTCCGCGTGCCTTGGCGTTCCTCCTCCCTCTCCTGGGCAAAGGTCACGAGGAAGCCACTGTCCATGTCGGGCGGAGCGGGAAAAGCAGCCTTTGCCGTCCCCCATCCCCCGCCCCGCCGCCAGACCCAAGGGGCAGGGACGCGGACAAACTCAGGCTTCCGGGCGACGGGGGCAGCCGGGCCGACTCCGAGCCACTTCCTGCGGGACCGCACCCGCCGCGGCCCAGAGGCTCTTCTGGGCAAGCCCCCCCGGCCCCGGCCCCCAAGCTCCAAGCCTAGTCCCGGCTCCCGGGAGCCAGCGAGCTCCACTCACCCCCGTGGGTCTGAGCCACTCACCTGCTGCCAAGACCTGGGGCTTGCGCGACCACGGGGACGGGACGTCTCACCTGGGCCAGGTGCGCAGCGGCGACGAGCCCGGCGGCGGCGGCAGGTGCAGCCCCGCCCAGCAGCCAGGGCCGGAGGGCGGACCCAAGAGTCCCGCTTTGCGCCCAAGTCTGGCGCTTAAGACTGTCCTGCTCTCAGACGCCAGGAAGCCTCGGAGCTGCAACCACCCAGCCTGGGGGCAGAGGGCAAACCGGCCCAACCAGCCCAGAGAGTCTAGGACCTGGGGGACTCCTCAGAGTTTCCACTGTCCCCAGGGGCATCTGTGGCGGCTCTGCCCCTCCTCCCCAGCTCTTCCTCCAGGAAGCCTGCCTTGACTCCTGTCCCTAAACCCCAAGTGCGGGGAGGGTAGGACCTCAATAAAGCCCCCCGCCTCACTTGGAAGCCCAAGGAACGCGAGAGGAGGCTACCACGTTCCAGACCTTTCCCCAACTGGACTTCCCATCTGAGAACAGACACAATCCACCAGAGGCCCGGAATTGATACAAAAAGGTTTCATTTTATTATAGGAAGTTCTGCAGGCTGAGGGGAGCCAGAGAGGTGGGATCAGGGCCCCCCGACCAGCCAGGATGGCGCTGGGGCAGGATCTGGGTCCCACAAGTCAGAGGGAGGCTCAGGAAACTAGGCTGGTTTTCCTGTGTTGTGACTGCTGAGAGGCACCCCCACCCCAGTTCTGTGGGTGGCAGAGGTCAGAGTTCAAGTTAGGGCTGTACCAAGTCTGAGCCCTAACAGACGGGCCTCACAGACCACAGCGTGCTGCTCACAAACACCTCAAACACACATGGGCCCTCCAAGACCCCCATATATACACAGACTTCCCCACATGCACACCAGCCTCCTGGGACCCTGATATGCCATGAATGGGGGTGGGGTGAGGTGGTGGGAGTGCTTCTGAGTCTCAGCTCCTGGGCACCAGTGCCTCTCGACCAGCTCTGGGTCTCCTACACCTCTGTGCTCTTGGGGCTGGAGCTGGAGGCAGGAATGGCATTGTTGGGGATCAGGGCCATGGCCCTCCCTCAGGTCTGGGGCCTGGCCCTACCCCAGCCTGGCCTCTGCCTCCCATACCACATCTTCTCCCGGAGTGTCTGGTACTTCTCCTCCAGAACCTTGTTCTCTACCGACTGAGGAATGTCAGGCACGAACCAGGCAGCGATGAGCTTGATGCACAAAGCCACGTGCTGGGGGGCAGGGCACAAGGGCTGGTCGGAGAGGTCAAGACAGACCCAGCAGGGAATTGAGGGGTTGGGGGCCAGGGAGGAGGGCTAGAGAGAGCTGCCCCCGCCTCGGGGCCCCTCCCCCAGTTCTGGCCCACCTCGAAGAGGATCAGGAAGACCAGGCGGATGGCCAGGAGGACCCAGAACTGCTCAGATAAGTTGTAGTCCCGAGCGTTGCGGTAGTCCCGGTACCTGGGGTGGGGAAGTAACTGAGGTCAGGGGTCAGGAGTTCAGAGGATGCTCATGGGGGATGGGGGGGGCTCCAAACCTGCACTTAGTCACATTCTCTGAGCCTTCTATCTGGTTGGGGTCCTGGAAGTCCTTGGTGTAGAACACAGACAGACTGTGGTTGATGTAGCCTGTGAGGCAGCTGGGGGAAGGAAGAGAAGGCCCCAGGCAGGTGAGGGCTGCAGGGTGTGGCCCCTTCAGGCTCCGGGGTGCTTTCTTGGAGCTAATCCCTGTGTGGTGGGGGCTATAGGGTGGGGCATAGCACAGAAGGCCTCCTTCACTTCTCTGCACGGGAAAGGGGCGGGGGGGGCGGGGTTGCGCCTGAAGAGACTCAGGGGGAGACCCCTGGAAACCCAGTCTGTAGGTACAGTGGTCCTTTGGAGGGCTGGAGGCGCTGGGTAAGGAAACCATTCTGCCCTCTCCTGTGGAGCAGCCCCAAGGGTCTGACTTTGGGACGGAGTCTTTCGGTGGGGACCGCTCAGAAAACATCTGGTTCTGGGACCTTAACTCCCCGACTGGGGTCCCAGCACTCCTGTGGTCTGCAGGTTGGCATGGGGCAGGGCCACCCCCACGCCCAGACTTATGACAACCACAGACAGTACTGGCGGCATCAAACTGTTCCCCTGGGCTCCCCTAGGGCTGAGCTGTGTGGTTGGGCCAGTTTTCCCAGGGGTCTCTGGACAGTCTGGGGCCCCCTCAGCGCCCCCTTACTTACTCGACCGCAGGCTGGGCCCCCTGTCGGCACGGTCCATAGTGGTACTTGTACACCACGCGGGGGATGAACTCAGACGTGAAGGCGATGACCATTCCATTGGCAATGACGGCCAGCACGCCAATGGTCTCCAGCACCTGCAGCCAGGTCCCTGGGCCACAGCGGCGGGGTGAGGCATCTGGTTCATCAAGCCCTGACCCACTGGCACTGCCCACCCCACCTCCAGCCACCATGCCCAAGGCTGGGAGCTGGGATGGTCATGGGGCCTGGTCACCTCTGCCCGTGCCACTGCTCATGGCAGCCATAGGCAGCCTTCACTGATGCAGACGTGGACCAGGAGGGGCTCAGGTCTCCCCTGACCCCCATCTTCTGCCTGAACCCCTCAGCTGCTCCACTCTGGGGTCAGAACCCCTTAATCTGGGCCCAAGACTGGGGCCTCCTTCCTACTCATACTTCTCTCTCCCTCTGCCCACATCCAGCACCCCATCCACTCTGTTCTTCCCTGACACCCGGCCGTCTCAGCGAGGACAATCTGGGTGACCGAGGCCGTGTCATAGTCCTGCTCTTAGTCCCTGCCCCCAGCTGCTGGACCCCTCCTTCCTTCAGCTGGGCCCTGTAAGGTGCACGCCAGCCCTGCCTCTTCCTGCCCGAGCACCACCCCCTCAGGGCCAACTCCCATCCTAGGCAGAGCCTGAGGAAGGGCTGGGGGCTGTCTGTGGGGTGAGGGGGCTGGTCTTGGAGAGAGTATTTCAAGGGAACTGGCATGATCCGGTCCCAGCGTCCTTCACCACCCCACCCCTGGCTGGAGTGCCCGTGCTCCCTGCCACCCAGTCGGGCCCCTGACCTATGTCCTTGGCCTTGCGGGGCACCAGCCGCCGCTGCAGCCTGACCATCTTGATGGCGTCCAGGCGGATCTCCACAAGGTTGCTGAAGAGCGCGAGCAGGGGGGCGAGTGGGAAGGCAGCCACAAAGATGGTCGTGAAGCCATACTGGATCACTGGGGGGGGGTGTGGGGTGTCGTCTAGCGCTGCGGGGTGCGCCACACACCAGAGTTCCCACCCCCTCCACCCACCAGTCCCCCAGCACCTGCCCCGGAACTGGCTGTTTATCAGGCCTGTGTCCCCAACCACCCCACGTACTCATCTCCATGAACTCGTCGAAAAGGCTGAAGGTGTTGACTGGGTTCAGGAGGTAGTTGCACTGCAAGTGCCTGAGCTCAGGGTCCCCCGATGCGCGGCTCAGCTTGAACCGCATCAGGCGATATTTGTGAGCCAGCCACCTAAGGGGTGATGAGAACAAGTGGGGAACAGGGAGGGGTGCTGGGGGCAGAGGGGCCCTTCAGAACTGCTGGCTCTGGGAGACGTAGAGACTAGAGGGGTTCCTGTGTGTTCGAGGGCTCCCTGGGGTGAGGGGGGCACCAGGAGAGCCCTGGGGAAGGAGGGGGTTCCTCACGGGCCCAGGTATTCCATGCAGTTGCTGAGTGTTTGTTTCAGACCCATGATGATGGCCATCTGCAGGAACAGGTCCATCATGCAGCCGCTGAGATGGCACTGCGGGGGTCAAGGTTGGGAGGTCAGGTGTGGGGAGACAGGGCTGTGGGATTGGGAGGGACGGAGTGGAGGGGCAGAACGGCAAGGTGTCCAGGACAGACTGACCTCCTCCAGCTTCCAGAGCCCCGCCAGGCGCACAGACTTCCCAGGGTGACCGTTGATCCTAGGAAGGACAGTTAGGCTGGAGGAGGGGGCAGGACCTTGCTTCTGACTGGGTGGGGGTGGGGCAGAAGGACAGAGAGTGGGGCTTGAGGCCAATGGTCAGGGAGACTGAGGATCACTTCTAGGGGGTTGAACCACCAAAGAGTTGGATTGTAGGGTTGGGCCAGTGGATCCTGAGACCCCGCACTGTCCCTTCCCCAGCTGAGCTCCGACCAACAGTGACAAGTGTCCTTCTGCCTCCGGGCAGGCATCTGACAGAGCAAGAGTTCCTCACGGGAGAGACGCGGCCTAGAGCAAAGCCACTGGCACACGCCTTTCTCAATTACGGACAGGTGACATCTAGGGAAAGCCTCTAACACCAAAATCAGAGACCAATTAAAGAAAGAGCATAAAAGAAACTTGAAAGGAAAAAAGCAATACCAGAATAGAAGAAAGAAAGAGACAAGATCCTCAGACAAGAAAAGCCACCGGTGTCCCGGTGCCACGAAGACGAGGCTGTGAAGGAATTATGCAAAGGAGTGCCTTGAATTGAAGAACATGAGCAAAAATAAAACATTCAACTGAAGGGTTGGAAAACAGAGTGGAGAAAAACTCCCAGAATCTGGAACAAAAAATGGGAGGGGGGAAAAAAGCAAAGAAAACCAGAAGGTCCAGTTTCCAAACAAAAAGAATTCCGGAGGGGCGCCTGGGTGGCTCAGTTGGTTAAGCAACTGCCTTCGGCTCAGGTCACAATCCTGGAGTCCCGGGATCGAGTCCCATGTCGGGCTCCCTGCTCAGCAGGGAGTCTGCTTCTCCCTCTGACCCTCTTCCCTCTCGTGCTTTCTATCTCTCATTCTCTCTCTCTCAAAAAAATAAAAAAAATCTTTAAAAAAAAAAAAAGAAAAAAAGAATTCCGGAGAGGGGAGCAGAGGGAACCGAAGACATAAGATGCATGAAAATCACTCAGAACTGAAGGACCCAAGGCTCCAGGCCCAGCAAGTGCCTGAGACTTTCTTTCCATGTGACTGATATCGATTCTACATGCCAGGCCTGCTGCAGGTGCTGACTCAGCAACGTCAAGCCCCCATGCTCCCCTCAGGGAGCTGTCACCCCTGCAGTAGAGACGAGGCAAACAAGTGCATTGTACCAGAGGGGAAGTGGGGAATCTGGGGGACCCGGGTTCTGCGCTGAGCAAGGGGAAGGTGGAGCTGCCATGTGGAAGAGGGAGACTGTGGACGAGCTTGCGGGCACGGTAAGGTTGGGGTGCCCGTAGGGCATCTGAGGGGAGATGAGAGGCAGCTGGACCTGGGAGTCTGGACTCCAGGGAGAGGTCTGGGCTGGAGACAGGAGTGTGGGCCTCACTGGTGTGTCTGGATGGTGTTTGAGATGGCACCTGAAGTCATGGGAACAGCAGGGCGTTGTGACATTGAGAGGTTGGGGAGAAGAGGAGAAGCCAGCATCGGGAAGAGGCAAGCAGGACCAGGGAGAGGGGAAGCAGAAGCAGGGAGGACCAGCCATTGGGCGTGGTGGGGAGAGCACTCCTTGAAAGGAATGGGACAGGGTACTTGTGTGGAGGTGGAGATAATCTAGGACCAAGACAGGTGTTGATGAGGCAGAGGAGGGAGAGGTGAATTGTTCAAGCAAGTCCAATGAAAAAGACCCACCAAGACACCCGCTGAGAGATTTCAGAGCACAGGCTTGGTGAGATTAGAGTCGGAAGAAGTCTACCTCCAGCAAGCACTCCATCAGGCCCTCAATAAGGGCCTCTGATTTCCTCTGTACCCTTCCTCAGGAAGCCCCTGGAAAACCTGGGTTCTCCTACACAGCAGAGAGTGAAGGGCTCCCAGGACAGACAGGTGTGCACAGCCCCGAGGGGAGGGGTGGACACCTAGAGGGCGTCTGCAAGGGCAGCCGGGGTCTAGGGACTGCCTCATGTCTTTGAACATACTTGGAGGACTTGGGGTTTTGTTAAAGTTCCACTGGAGTTTGGAATTAATTGGCAGTATGTATGTGTCTTACGCAATTTAAGCAAATATACAGAACAAATGGAGCAATTATTTTCTTCAGAACAAAATTCAGTATGTTGATTGAACCAAAAAAAAAAAAAAATGTTGATTTCACTAATAAGAAAGAAGAGGGGAAGTCCATGTGTGTTATATGAAATTTCAACTTTACAAAGCTCAACGTTGGAAATTACCCAAACGTCCACCAACTGAACTGATAAAATAAATTCCAGCACATCCTGCAAACTAAGGCTCATGGTGTGGTTTTAAAAATGAGGCCTCACCATCCATGCATATGTGGGAGATGCCCACAGTACATTTCAGTATAATGAGAAGCTAAAATGATTTACAGGACAAGACCATGTGTGTCAACTGGTGTATATGTGTGTGCACTTGAATGTGTGAAAAATTCTGGGAAGACCCACGCAATGGTTATGGGGTCACCTCTGGGCACGGGGAGTAGAGAGCTGGGGGTTCACCATGGTCTTCTGCCACACATTTTTATATTGGGTGTCCAACTGTTCTGAGCATGAATTTTTTTTTAAAGAACTTATTTATTTGAGAGTGAGAAACAGAGACAGCGACAGAGATAGTGAGAGAAAGCATGAGCGGGGAGGAGAGGGAGAAGCAGGCTCCCCGCCGAGCAGGGGGCCGTATGCGGGACTCGATCCCAGGACCCTGGGATCATGACCTGAGCCGAAGGCAGACGCTTAACGGACTGAGCCTCCCAGGTGCCCCTGAGCAAAAACAAAGACAAGCAGGTATCTCCACTTTAAAGGGGGGGACTAAATGGCGGACGAGGCGGTGGGAGTGGGCCACTCTTACCTGCCCAGGATGAAGGCGATGTAGACAAGGGACGAGAAGTGAGCAAAGAACTGCAGAGTGAAGAACTTGACGGTGAACTTGCTCTCGCGCTCTGAGAAGGTCCTGGGCTTCTCTAGAATGAGATGTGGGGCTGTCCTTCACCCATCCCTGACCTGTCCCTATCCTGACGACTCAGGGACACCCGCAACCCTCACCTGTCCGCCAGGTGGGAGAGGCAGTTGAGACAGCAGAAAGGGCTCCCTCCCCTGTCTGGGGATCCAAGACCCCAGCCCTGAGTCCTCCTGTCCCTTTTCTGCGCCCCCTCCCCACAGGCCCCCTCTCACCAAAATCACAAAGCTTCAGGGCCACATACTTGTTGATCTGCAGGGGGGAACCCAGAGGGCTTACTTTGGGCCTCAGGGGAGACCCTCCCCCTGCCCCGTCCTCCCTCTATCCCCATCCAGCCACCTTGGTCATGATGAGGATGGCCACGTAGTGGACCAGGGCCCCGGTCACCACCACAGCTGTGGTCACCTGCTCTTCTTGGAAGAGCAAGGTGGAATTGAAGAGGGCGGCGGCCAGCACACGGTAGACCACCAGGAGGTGGGCCATGCCGATCATAAGGCAGATCTGTGGAGGGGCGGCCAGGACAGGGCTCCTCAGGACAGCCAGCCCCCGCCCAGGTCCCCACCCCACTACGGGTTCTGTAGGGGTACCATGAGCAGAGACAGCATGAGGATGATGGTGCTTCTCAGGTACGAGTGCTGCTGTGGCCGGAGCTCGTAAGCAGGGCAGTTAATGAGCTCAAGCGCCATTTCCTCCTGTGGAGGGCACCAGACACGCCTCAGCCACGGGGACACCCCCCCCTGGGACGGGCAGACGCAGGTGTGGCGCTGCCGCACAAGGTGCCGAGACAGCCCCTGGATCACCTGCCGCCTCACCTGGTCCTCGTCCCACCCGTACAGGTCCCAGTGCAGGACCACACGGGCCCGCTGCCGCTTCCAGATCTCCAGGAACACCGTGGCTGCAGACGGGAGCAAAGGGGCGACCCGCCCTCTGTTCCTGGGGTGGGGCTGGGGCCGACGGCCATGGGCGCAGGGGCAGGAGTGGCCCCCCCAAGTGCTCAGGCTGCCCCCCAAGTGCCCACGGCGACTCACCCCACAGAGCCATGAATATAGCAAAGAGCACGGTGCCCTCGTTGTCGAAGAGGTGCGTGAGCTGGGGAGAGGGGCGCACGCGGCTGGGGGCGGCCCTGCGCTGCCCACCACGCCCCCAGCGGGGAAGCGTGAGCCCAGCTCTGCAGGGGCAGGCCCTCAGCTTCCCCTCCTCCGGGAAGACAGGCTGGAGCGGAGCCCCCGGGGCGGCAAACCTTGGCAAAGGTGCAGGTGTCCGAGAGCTGCTGGTACCTACGGCTGTGGTCGCCGCGAGGGCACAGGAGGATGTCGTGGGCCTCACAGATCTCCTTGCTGTGGGGGCAAGGACCGGGCAGGTGGCCGCTCTCCCCAGACTGCCCCATCCCGGCCCTCCCCGCCCCCTCCCCCTCCGGCCCCGCCCCTCCATCCCGACCTGATCTGGCTGGCATTGAACAGGGAGAAGCCGCTCAGGAAGATGATGAGGCCCACCAGTGCAGCGGGCACAAGCATGTAGGTGTACCAGCCGAGCCAGGCGAAGTACAGGGCCACCTTCTCGCCAAAGTAGTCCCTGCCGGCAGAGCTGCCCATCAGGGCCACCCCCGCCCAGGTGCCCTGCAGGCCAGTGCCTGAGTGGGGCGGGCCACGTGTGGGGGCATAGAGCATCCATGTGTCTGGCCGAGGAGCACAGACACATCTCTTTGCTAGGGGCACGGGTGTGTCTGGGGGGGGCACAGGTGATTTGTCTGGGGCAGTTTCACCTGATATCATCAATCGGCTGGGGGTGGAACATGTTTCTCCACCGGGCCCATTTCTTCTTTAGGTCTTCCTCCCCCTGAGCACAAGTGACAGACGGTGAGGGTTTCCTGCCTCTGGTCCCATCCTCAAGCCCTCTCCCAGCTGGCCCACCCCTCACCTTGTGCAGGGCGAATCTGGTCTCAAAGACCCCACTCTTCACCAAATCCTCTAATGTGCCTGGTGGTCACAGGGAGTCAGGTCAGAGGGGAGTAGGGGTGAGGGGGAGCCCTGCCCTGCTCTCCCCATGTCACACCCCTTCTGGGGGGCCGCTGCATAGGCCACCTGCCCATCCTGTCCTTACCACCAGCTGCCGCCTTGCTGTTTAGTACAAAGTTGACAATTCGGATTCTGGAACACAAGAACTGGTTCAGGATGACTCCTACTGACCTGGGTGGACCCCACCCTCTGTCTGGCCAGGTCCCAGGCCCCCCTGTGTCCTGGTGAAGCCCCCAGCCTGCCTGACTTACTGCCTGACCGGAGTCCAGAATCTAGGACTCATCCGGGAGCCCATCCCCCACCCCTTTGAGTCCTCCTGTGGCCTAGCTGCCCCATGGCTCCAGGATGGGGCACCCTTGGTGGTAGGCCCTCCCCTCCCAATGCTCAGTTCCACACCATCCCCTCCCAGGTACTGGCCTAGACACCCCCCCAATACCTCCTATCACACCTCCCACCTGGAGCCCCCACACATCCAGAGCACACCCTATGCCTTTATATGCACAAATCCTTATAGCCGGTGAGCCATTTTCCCTATGGAGAGATGGAGGCTCAGAGAGGTGGAGTAACCTGCCCAAGGCCACAGAGCCGGGAAGTGGCACAGCCAGACATCTGACTGCAGAGCCACACTCCTCCAGAACATCTTCCTGTAGGACATGGTCCCTCTGATGTCCCAGGGCATTCTCCCAGCCTACTCCTCCCAGGCCCTGTCAAGGTGCCTCTACTCAACCACCTTCCCCTTGCACCTCCTGGAGACCAGCCAGTTCTGCATTCACAGGAGGCCGCCTCTGTTGCTCATATCCAAATTCCAGGAGCATTCTTTGCCAGTCTCCAACTGACCAGGCCCTGGCTGAGCTCAGAGGGGCCCGGGCCAAGGTGGGACAGGTGACAGAGGAGGGATGTGGGGAGGGTGGGCGGGGCAGCGTGGAGGGCTGGAGGGTCAGTGGGGAAAAGGACGTGACGTGCTTGGAGAGAAGAGGCTTGGGTGCCTGGGAGGCTGGGGACGATGTGACGGAGGGGCATTTGGTCTGGAGAGGGGTGGTCGGGCCCCACATCCCGGGTCTTGGGGAGATGACCTCAAAGCTAGGAGGGACCACTGGGAGGCCTGTCCAAATCCTGCCCACCCTTCAGGAAACATAGTCACACGTAACCTTCAGAACACTCCAAGAAGCGAGAACTATCTTTATCCCGTACCACACAGACATGGACACTCGGGCTCAGATCTCTGCCCCTGGGACCTCTGACCTAACACCATGCCTGCAAGCCTGACTGGACCAGAAGCATGGTGGGCAGGTCTTGGCCAGCCTCTCACCTGGCGGTGGCTGGGACGGAGAATGGCCTGGCAGGCTGCACCCTGGTGGCAGGACCCTCAGGCTCCATGAGGAGTGTGCAGTACAGGTCAAAGATCCTGCTGTCTGCTCGGATCCCAAAGAACACCTTCTTGTGGTCCTCTATCATCTGGGGGTGGGAGGGTGCTTGGGGACCTCCACTCCACTTTGGAAGTCCCCCCCTTTGTCCACAGCCACTGGCCTGTCCCTTTGACTTCAGGCACAAGGCCACAGCCATGTCCACAGACCCCTCCCCAGGACACACCTGGCCCCCTGACCCCAGCGGCCCGGTCCCCCATGCTCCACACCAAGCCAGGCCCTCAGCCAGCCCACCTTATAATGGAAGCCCTTTCTCTTGAGCTCTTCCAGGAACTGCTGCTGCTGGTGGGCCTGCCTGGTATTTCTCTGGGTGCGGTGGTCAGCCACAAGGACGTAATCCCACTGCTCGGAGGCCTCGGTCTGGAGGAAGGCGGTATGGGGCTGGGGCTGGCACAGGGCACAGGCCAAGGGTGGGACCTCGTCTGGGAGGGGCCCGGGTGGAGACTCACCTCACCAGTGTTGATCTCCATCAGTGGGAAGCTGTCCCCTTCAGTCCCCGCCAGGATCTGGCCGCTCTCCTCACCCTGGGGCAGAGGGTAGACGGAAGGATGGGGCTCATTCCTGCAGCAGGACACCTCCCAGGCTGGGTACTCCAGCACCGAGGAGGCAAACATGAAACTGGGGGGCAGGACCACAACTGAACAAGTAGGTAGCCCCAGATGGGGCTCAGTGCTAGGACCACGATGAGCAGGGCGATGGGTGGGGAGGCACTAGGTGACTCCAGCAAAGGTCTGTTTAGAAATATCAGCAAAGAGCTCTGAGATCCTTCAGAAAAGACAAGCAGCAAATAGAAGAGCAGGAACTGCAGGTCCGGTGGCCAGAGGCATCACCTTCTGCCCTTTTGGTCACAGGCATTTTAATGGCCTAACAGCATCGAAGTCAACAGACTCCCTGTCATGCGTGAATTGGGGAAACAAAACTGAACATTCTAGGCCATCCAGCCTGGCCCATCCTGCCCTGAACACAAGGAAGAGGGTGCTCACAGTAGCTTATTTCATATAAAATTTGTGCAAATAATCCAAATTCCCAGCAGCATGTGGATGGACAAGGACACCGTGCCGCCCCACACGGTGGAAGACCACGCAGCAGGAAAAGGGTGGGCTGCCGCCACACTTGGGCCACTGGGGACCAACGTCACATGGTTCTGAGTTTAGTAACAATAAGTCCAGTGAGAATCCTGCAGGAGTAAGTGTTGTAGGCACATCTGGACAGACAGACGGATGCTAAACTCAGGGGGCAGAACCTTAAGGAGGAACCGGCTGTGTACACAGCTTCCAAGCCTCTCCCGACTGTCGGTATCGTGGCAGCATTAATGGATGTCACGAGTTCTCTCTTCCTCCCGCCAGACCCTCCCTTGTGGGCTTAATGACTAATGAAAAAAGTGTGGGAAGGGGAAAGAGAGAACCCCAGCAGATGCCCCCCCAGGTGATGAAGGTCTAGGGCCCAGTGATATAATTTAGCTGTTAGGGCCCCCCCACCACTGTGCCAACAGGATGTGATGGGTAGTCTGTAGCCCCCTCCCTAAAACACACAGTCCTGTCTCATCAGACTCAAGGGTCCGATGGCCAAGGACAAGGAGGGACAGAGGGACCATCACGGATGGGAGGGGGCCAAGGAGACGCGAAGTCAAATGCCTCAAGCGGGGTCCTGCCCAGACCCGGGCACAGGGAGAGGGCACAAGGGGAAGAGCCGGTGACGTCGGAGTCCAGGAGGCCGTGTGGCCCCAGGCGATGGGACTGTGGCATCCGGGGAGGCGTCGGGCTAAGACCGCACAAGTGGGGACGGGGGGGGGGGGCAGTGCTCAAGCTTCACCCACCCTCGGCGGGCAGATAGACAGCAGGGTGTGGGGCTGACCCAGAGTGCCCAGGGCCTCGTCGTGGGGCAGCTGAGGGGTGGGGCTGCAGCAGGTGGGGGACGGGGCAGACAGGTCACAGTCGGGGAGCCCCAGGCTGAAGTGAGGGAGACACCGGCCTTGGAGCCCAGAGCCTGGGTTGCCAACACCGTGTGCCCTCAGGCAAGACCGCCCACGTCTTTCCGCCTGGCCACAGGAAGCACCCTGCAGCCCCAGAGCCGCGCTGGCCATGCTGGGTGCACCAGGGAGAGCGTCCCCAGCTCGCTTCCCAGTGGGCAGCTCTCTCAGGAGGCACAGGGATCCTGCGACATCCCAGGGATCAGGGTGCGGGTGACGCACCGGGGGGCGGGTCCATCAGAGCACCCCACCTCACGCCTCCTGGGCTGGCAAGTTCAGGCACTGCCCACCCCACTGTGGGCACTGGGCTCTTGCCATGGCCTCCCGCCAGCCCACCACCTCCTACCGCCCCAGGGTGACCCCAGCCCTTCTCCTGGCTTAGGAGCTCAGTGCAGCCCATGGCTGTGTGCCACAGTATCACACCCTCCTCTCCACCCTGCCCACCCCCAGGCCTTCGCCCCTGCTGGCACCCCCACCCACTACCCCTTCCCTCTACGACCACATTCCGCCAAGCTCAAGGCCTGCCTCCCTCACAAAGCCGCACTGGACTGCTCCAGCCAGTCTGCCCTGGAGGGCAGCCAGGTAAAATGCAGGCGGCCCCATCACATTTGAATTTGAGATAAACAGCAGATACCTTTTAGTATAAGTATGTCCCAATTATTGCATGGGACACACTTATACTAAAAAAGAAATGTTCAATGTAAAATACAATTTAACTGGGTATCTGCTTTTTATTTGCTTCAAAACCTTCAACCCTAGTCCAACTCCCCAACCACACCCATGGACACAAGAACTACTGGCCCCAGGGTGGGACCTGGGTCTGCCCCACTCTCCCTCTGTCCCAGTCACGGAAGCCAGAAAACGGCATCACATGCAACCGCAGAATGGCAGGCTCTAAGGCATCAGGTGCCAGGGTCTCATGAAGACTGGGCTAATACAGACAGCGCCTCTGGTCCCAAAGGCCCTGGCACTCAGGTGTGTGGCTTATCGTATCTAAAACTTCTGCCCCATCTCGGGCCAGAAGAGAAACCTGCGGTTCACAGATTTGCAGGACAGGGAGAGCCCCTGGGCTGAGGTGCCTCTGTCTCAGGGAAGAGTGAAGTCTCAACTGCATGGGAACAGGGGCATTCAGGTCACCAGCATCTGGTTCTGTGACTTGCCCACCATAGGGCTCAGTAAGTGTTGTGCTGGAGGAATTGGTGAGTGCAACTGATCCCTGCGTTGACAGGAAAGACCTTATGTGTTTGACTTCGGACACTGGAGGAGACTCTCCCTGTCTACCCCTCCCCCAGCCCCGAACTGAGCTCCTCCGGCAGAGACTGCAAGGAGAGACCCCAACATGGGCCTGAGGCTGAAGAACACGCAGGACCACCAGGGGTGAGAGATGGGACTCCAGGATGTGAAGGAATGGCATAGGGAAGCCAGACTGGACAGAACACTGGGATCCAGGCGGGAGGAGGGAGCCTGGGAAGAAGGGACTCCCCCAGGGGGACCCTCAAACGTCCGGTAGTAGGGGGAGGCGGGCCCTTACGGGGTCACAGAAATGAGGCTGCTGTACCTGGGGAGCTCCTGATTCAGACAACCCCTTTCCCCACCAGAGACAGTGCCCAGCTTTGGGACCGTTACCCAGAGCCTCTTGGGAAGGGCCGACTTGAGCTCCTCTAGGGGCTGGCATGTGATCCAGATGGTAGAGAGTGATGCCACCTAAGGTATCTGATGGGCACTGACCATGGATCCTGGCCACTAGACCAGAGGAACCCCCAGGGCAAAGTTACATGTACACCTGGTCAGCACCTGGTCAGCCCTTGGCAATGGGTAGGCAGCCACAGGGGCAGCCGGGTCAGGGTCCCCCCCATCTCCAGCTCTAGTCCAGCCACCCCTGTCCCCACAGCCAGACCGGGACCAGGTTCTGAGAATCTGCTTCCCATATACTCTGGGCTCACCATCCCCAAGGTCACCTGCTGCATGCGAGTCCCTCTGTGGGCCATGGCCACAGCCACAGCCTCCAGGATCAGGCTGTCCACCAGTCCATCTGTCCTCCAGGGTGAGAGGCCTTCACAGATGGGGACTAGGCTCACATGAAGTCGTCCCCACCTCCAGCCAAGCAGACTGCTCGGTGTTGTCCGAAGCAGGGTGTCTGGGGCCCCTATGTCTCCATCCCTCGGGCTCCACCTCCAGGACCTCCAGTGTCCGTCAGGCTCCCAGGCCCCCAGGGCAGGGACAGGGACTGTCCCAACACACTTAGCCTTGGAGATCCCAGCTCTCCCTGTCCTGTGCAGAACCCAGGCAAGCTCCTGCACAGATGAGGGGTGCAGGCTGGGAGATCACTATTGTTCTCCCTTTAGTCCTTCCAGAGTCTCCACGCCCTGCAGGCCAAGCACCTAGTGGGCCAGAGCCCAGGCTTAACACAGGCCAGAGTCCCAGGGGGCTCATCCACTAGTTCCAAATGAGGGGACTTCTGGAGACACTGCAGATCCCAGGAGACACTCCCTCCCCTACAGCACAGAACATGAAGGGTCAGAGCTGGGGGAGTCCTGCCCCTGTCCATCCCTTCCCTGTTTGGCCTCCAGGTCCCCAGTGGGGCTGAGGACACTGCTGTGCAGACGTGACTGTCACCCAGCTCCTGATCAGGTGGGCTACATGGACACACATGCGGCAAAAGGAACGTATTCAGGCCTCCCCTCACTATCCGTGGCACATCTCACCCCGAGGTCACATCACACTCTCTGGCTGGGTCCCATGAGCACCCTGTAGTTTTATCATCCAGCAGGGGGACCCTCCTGCCCCCACCAAAGTGTACAAACACAGAGAAGCCCACCCTTGCTCACTCAGCCCAGACGCCCTGAAGAGTCCACTGTCCCTGAGCAAATCTCCCCTGCACCTGGTTCTGCTTCTTGGACTTCTGAAGCCGGTCACCTGCCCCTCCCTCCTGTCTGCCCCTCCTTGCCTCCCTCCCCCCTCCAACCCTCCACCTCTTCACCTATCCGTCTGTCTTCTGTCAGTTCATCGTTTCATGCGTCCATCCGTCCATCCATCCCCAGACCCTCACTGACGATGCAGCCTGCTCTGTGTGCAGCCCTCATAGGCAGCATGTGGTGTAACTATACACAGGGGCCTGGAGAGGCAGGTGGCTGCTTGGCAGCGGAGGTAGCCTGGAGCTTGAGGTTGGCAGGAGGCCATCAAGTGGGGGTAGCATTCCTGGGAGAGGAAAATATGTACGGACAGGCCCTGAGAGGCAGCATGCAATCACTGTCCAGGGACTTGGTACTCAGGACCTCCCAGAGACTCAGGACCCAGCACCTCCAAGGACTTGGTAGTTAGTACTCCCAGGGACTCAGAACTCAGCATTTGAGCTTGGCAGAGGTACAAAGAGCTAGAAGGGAGCTGCCAGGAGGTGAGGCTGGGGATTGGCAGAAGCCGGATCATGGAGGCTGCTCAGGCAGCTGGGGCACTTAGTCCACTGGGGGCCATGGGGAGCCATGGAAGGGACTGAAGCGGGGAAGAGCGTAGTCAGATCCAGCTAGGGGCTGGGGCCACCAGGCACCCCTGCATATGTCCCTTTCAAAGCATTGATCCCTTTGCCTCAGCCAAACCAGGTGCTACCCCCCCAGGCAGCCCCAAGTTTCCCCTTTACCCCAGCTTGGGACGGGCATGGAAGGAAGGGGCTGACAGGGCTAAGGCTAAGGTGTGCCCATACGCTCACCTGAGCAGCCAGGTGCCAGAGCTGGCTCTGGAAGGGCTGAGGAGGCCCTGGGCAAAGGTGGAGTGAGAGGCCACCTGCTTGGCCCACACCTGGGAGGGACCCCAGGAGGCTGAGTGGGAGGCTGGTTTCGCTCTCCACCTCGGCACGGGTCTCCTCCCTGGGCCACCCAGGCACTGGCCCCAGCCTGGATGACCTCTTTCCTAACAGAGGGGAGAAAGGAAGTCTTCCCAGGATGTTTTCCTGCCCACCTCACTGGGACTCCGTAGCCTCCTGCTCTGTCCCCCAGAATCAGAATCCAACAGCCCCCAGCCAGCCCCCAACCTCTGCCTGGTGTAGGACTCCCAGGGAGCAGAGGGCTCAGCCGGCCACCCTCGGCCTCCCCCGGTCTCCCCAACCTCAGGTCAGCCCATCCTGGAGGCCAGAGCCCCCTTTCCCTTTGCAGGGCAGAGCTGCAAGTTCTGGGGATGGACATGCTCTCCTCATCTAGGTCTCACACAGGCTCTAAGGGCCCAGCCTGGGGTCCCCAGTATCCCTGGCTGGGCAGGAGGAAAACTGCCCTCTGTCTTGCTCCAACCCCCAGCCAGCCCAGGGACTCTGTCTGGGCTCTGGCCACCCTCACCTCAGCCTTGAGGGCTGCAGGGAAACCCCACAGGTACTTTCCAGGTAAGGCTGGCAGGGCTTCACAGGCGTGGAGCCTCCTGGAGGGGCGTGTCCTGGCCACAGGTGTGGACCCCCCCACACACACAGCCGACTCACCTGCATCCTGGCCCCAGAGTCTGGCTGGGGGCTGGCGAGACTGGAGTGTGGCAGCGAGGCCCATGGGGCGAGTCCTACCTGACTTCCGCTTGGGACTCACCACTCCCTCCTTCCTCTCTCCCGCCTCCCTCCCCCTCCTCTTCCTCCACCTCCTGCTCCCCTGCACCCTTCTGCAGCCACGCCCCAGGCTGGAAGGAACACCCCTCCTCTGTTCCCAGTGCTCTCTGACACTTTCCTGGGGTGACGGTGCAGGGGGGACCCCTGCCCACACCTGGGGGCATTGCCCTCACCTGCAGGAGGGGTTCCCCTGTAAGACGGAGGTAGATTGGCAACTCCCTCCTAGGGGGAAGCAGCATGGGTGGGGCACATGAGCACTCCCCAGCATCCCTAGCTCCCTGCTCACCTTCACTCTTCCAGACCCCAGGACACGCTTTCCCCAGGGCCCCTCCAGAGCACCCAGCCCTTGACTCCCACTCCCGGAGTCCAGTGTTGATTCCCTTAGAGGAGAAACTGGGGCAGGGAGGATTGGGGATGAGAGAGACCCCAAGAAGAAACTCCCACCCTGAGCCCCTGTTTTGTGGACCCCATCTGGGGGAGGAGAGAGCTGGCCCTGGGCTGCATGGATCCTGTGCTCTAGGCAGCAGCTGGGGAAGGCTCTGGGCCACCAGAATGCAGAATGCCCCCAACAGTGATTTGGGGCACCCAGGCTCTGGAAGCTGCTCTGAAGCTGAGGACACAGGACAGAAGCTCAGCAGGACAAGGCACATGGAAACATGGAGCAGTATGAGGGGGCCCCGAGTGTCAGGGTACAGCGTCATGCAGCCCATGCAAGCCTGTGGTTCAGACCCAGCATTGACATATATTTGCTCTGGGATAATATGGCCCAACCCCACCCACATTTCCACCTGGGGGACCCCATGGCAGGCTGTGACAACAGCAGGGACCAGGACTACACTATGAGGTGGCAGACAAGAGAGGCAAAGAACCTGTGTGACTCTGATGGAACAAATCTGGACAAATACATTAAGATTGGTGTCATGGAAAACCCCAATGATAGTGGCTTCAACAAGTCTCTCTCTCTCTCTCTCTCTCTCTATATATATATATATAGCAACATATACGTTGCTTTTTCCCATAAATTAAGTCTGGGGTGGGCCAGTCCAGGACTAGTATTAACTTGCCTTGTTGCTCCATCACCTTAAACACTTGGTCCCACCACATGGCTCAAAGCGGCTGTCCAACATTCCAACATTCCAGGCATCCCAGCCACATCCAAGCCGGCAGGGAGAGGAAGGAGGAGGTGCGCTCCACCAGGCACATGGCCACATGGCCACAACTTCTTGCATGGAAGCCTGGGGAGTATGATCACTTTTCCTAAGGAAGAAGGTAGAAGGACACTAGGGTCACCCAGCCGTCTGCACAGGCCAAAGGGCCTCAGATGCCCTATTCGCATTCAGGAGACAGTCCGCCAGGGCTTTTGAGCGTGAGCAATGCGAACTCAAGGTCTAGGCTGCCAGCCAGCTCCTGGCCTCTCTGTCTCCTCCTGGTCCCCAACCTGCTCAGGATGTCTGCATCTACATTTGCATTGTGTTAAAACCGCCCACTAATGGGTTTCCCCTGACACAGGCACCACTGCAGGCCTCAACAAAGCTGTGGGGTCTTCATGTCTCTACTTGGCATCCCGTTTGTATTGCCACAGAGACACTGTTTCTCATTCCCACCTTCCAAGGGCCTGAAGGAAGTCAAGTTACATCCAGATCCTTGCTGCTCCAGAGCCAGCATCGGTGGCCTCTTGGGGCAAACACAGCATCTCCAGCCTGGCTGGGGGATCGCTGGCCTGGCCCCACGGGAGAAGGTGCCCTACTCTTAATGCAGGGTGGAAAATAAGGACAGATCCTATCCCGCCCCATTTGGAGAGAAAACAGGGACAGCCCTTTGGGAAAGCAATTCAGCAAAAAGAATGAGAAGCCTTAAAACTGTTTATGATTTGGTCCTATCTATCTATTCCTAACTATCTTAAGGAAAAAAATAATGAAAATGTGTATAAATATGTCCTTTGAGGCAAAAATTATAAGCCACTTAGATGCTCAACAATAGGGAAATGTCTGAGCAAACATGGTATATCCATATGCTGATTGAGCAGCCATACAATATTATGCTTTCCAAGAGTGATGAGAACATAGGAAAATGCTTATGTTATACTGCTAAGTGAAGAAACACAGATTGCAAACATGTATACATTTTGTTGTCTCAACTAAGTTAAAATGTATTAAAATACTGAAGATTGGATTTAATATTTATGCTCATATCCTCATATCTGCTTAATGATGTGAGCTGTGGATGGTGAGATTATGCTTTTCTTCCTTCAGTTTGCTTTCTTCAAATTTTCTACAACACACACATCACTTTTATGAACCTAATTATTAAATTTATTTTATGATGATACTAAAATCTATTATGGACTTAATTTCCCCAGGCTCAGCCTTCCTCTTGGCCTTGGTCTTGAATGCATCGTCTGAAAAAGCCACCGTACAGTGGATCAGCCCTTTGCAGGCTGTGTGGCCACCCCGGCTGCTGGCAGAGCTGGCCCTGCCCTGTCTTGGGGAGACAACGGGGCCTGCATGGGCCTCCTGTTCTTCCCCTGTGGATCCTGGACCCAGCTCCCTTTTCCTTCATCCTCCGAGCTCCAGAGCACCCTGCCCACCTGTCGTCCTCCCTCTGAGGGCAAAGTGGAAGCAGCCCCCCATTCCTGCTGTCTCCAAGGCTGCCTCAGACTCCTTCTAACTGGGGGGCTGGTGGCCACCCCGTGGAGGAGGTCAGGGTCACAAAGCCACCAGGAGCGCCCCAGGTAAAATCCTGCAAGCAGGCGAAGCAGGAACAAGCACCCTTGTCCTCACCTTGGGAATCTGTCCTCCCTACCCCAATGGCCTGGGTGTGATGCAGTTTTGGCATGTTGTTGTTGGTGGGGTCTGGAGCCGACTGGCCAAGACGTCTTATTAAAGCACGGGGACAGGCCCGTGGACAGGAGGAGCTACTGCCCCCTGCTGCCCTGGGATTACGCGGAGCAAGTGATTCTCTACCTTGGGGTTGGGAGAAGTAAAGAGGAAGAAGGTTCCCAAAGGACTTTGGTTTGTCAAAGAAAACTTGAGACCTTGGAGGAATGTCATAATCTGCCTGTCTCAGGTATCTGTCAATGGGCTGCAGGTTACAAGGACATTTAATTTTATCTACATTTCCTTCTGTCTTTGTTTCCCATCTCAGGTGTGGCCCAAAGACACTCAAAGTCTCACTGAGGATACTTCTCAGAGGCTCACAGCCAGGTCAGCCTCCCATGCTCTCTCTGGGCTGGTCCCAGATACCCCCAGCCCCTTCTGGCCTCTCTGGCTGACAGCTCATCTGGGGCAGCAGACCTCCCTGTGCTCAGGCCCCTGCAGGGAAGATTCTTTCACAGGCTGGGCCTCTGCTCCTGGGGTTTGCCAGAGGCTGGTCCTTGCTTGTCATACCAGGGTTTCAGGGTGGGGACCCCAGCCCCTGATGTCCTCACCCCAGGGACAATTCTGTCTCCCAAATGCTGCCCCCCAACACCTCTGGGCCTTAAACGTTTTCTGTCTTAAGGAGCAGAGAGCCATTCCCACCTGAGCTGACAGCACAGCAGCCCCCAAACCCTCCACCAGCCCTGGGAAAAAAAACTGCAGGTGGCAGAGTTCTCCAGAATCCGCTCACCTTGACAGACTTAGCAGCAGAAACAACTGTTGTTGTTCCTTTAGAAACCCACAGCTTTCTCTCCCTTCCCTGCAAGGACATTTTAAGAAAGCACAGCTGTCAGTATTTTCACTGTTTACCACCAGGAGTGTGAGTCCTGAAGGCTAGGGAAGCCCTGGGGTCTGAGGCTAGGACACACCCATGGAAGCTTCCACCCAGATCTTCAGCTCTCAGGTGTGCTTACTATTCCTGAGGAAGGCCAGAAGTGGCCGCCTTTACAGCCCCTGGAGCCCTGGGGCCTCAGGCAATCACCTCTGTGGCTGAGGAAGGGGTCAGAGCCTCTGCACCCTTCCCCAGGCAGGGCAACTCCCAGGCACCAGGTCAGGGACTGTGTCCCCAAGTCCTGTGGCATACCATGCTGAAGGGAGCGGCTGAGCAAGGCTGCAGCTGGAGTGAAGGGTAGTGGTCAAGACAGGGACCTGGTGGAGGTGAGACCATATCAGGCCTCAGGTGCAAAGCTGCAGGTGGGATGCTCCTTGCAGAGCATTGGGGGGGAGGGGCAGGGGAGAAGCTCTAGGTTCCAGTGGGGAAGAAAGAGGCGGGGCGGGGGGGATGTCACCAACCATTCTGTACCTCAATGTCTTAGTCTCTCAGCCAGAGATTAAAAATAGAACCCAAGGGGGTGTGAAGGTCACAACAGTTATAGCATTTGTAAAGCGTTGGGAACTCTCACTGGCATGTGGCCAGAGCTCGGTGGCAGTTGTTAACTAACATGTGGTCTGCGCAGAGGGCAGAGGGCACCCAATGGGGAGCCAGCCCAGCCCGTGCCCAGTTCCACTCTGGCCCCACCCATAATGGGCCCTCTCCCAGCTCCACCCTCCTCCCCTCCCCCCACCACACTCCCAGGACGGGCTCATGGGATCTGGCCCTGCCCCTGGCCAGCCATGTCCTGTGCAGCTTCTGTGCTCTGGAGAGGCGGTGGCCCTCCCCGTGCAGGAGGGGGTGGCTCTGAGCACAGTTCAGGAGAAACACCCAGGAAGCAACAGTGGCAGGACAGCACTGGGAAGTTGAGCGCCACCAGCTGGGGTGGAGAAGAGAGGTCCTGAAGGGTGGCTCTGGGCCCCCAGGGCAGGATGAGAAACTGGCCTATGGGGTGCTTGCTGGAAAGAAGGGGTGGGCAGGAGCTGGCCTGCTCTAGGCACTTGGGTCCAGCATTACTTCCCTGGACAAAGCAAGTCCCAATGTGTCAGTCTGCGAAGGCCAGTGCAGTGGGGGCCACAGTCTTAGCTCACCCACCATGCAGCCAGGTGACCCTGACCTCATCATGCCTCCCTGTGGCCTTCAGGATGGAGACCAAGGTGC